ATAATGTGCTTTGTTTCACATAATGGCCGTATGCAGTAAACAGTAGGAAACTGCTCATTTATGAACAGCCCTTGTTGTATAATTGAGAAACCAGTTATTATAAAGGTGTTTTACTGTGTTAAGGTGTTTGTTGCATTAAGAAACACAAATTCCTTGTTGCTTCCTGTTTGCTTGCAAACCACCCAGGTCTGGGACCTGGGTTAATGCAAATTCCAATTGTTTGTACATGCCTCCATTTGGGGGATGTTTTATCTTGGTTTTGTATTTAAAGGATTGCAGCAAATGGGTCGGCGCGATTCTGTAGTCAGAGAGCCCGTAGTATAAAGTGTGTCCACACACTTCACACTATGTATTTTTCTAAAAAGTCAGGTATGCATCTTACTCTTAGATTTGTCTATGAGAATTTGATGTATCGTATTGATTTGATATCTTTGAATTGGCTATGTAGATAATTGGCATAATACATATTTACCGGACTGATAATAAATTGATGCATTTGATTTATTCTGACTTACTCTGAAATTATTTTCTCAAGTAGATTAAGTGAAGGCGTATGTTTCCGCAAATCTGCGTCCAGGGTTACGTACATACTAGATCTCAGATTAGATGGAGCATGGCGCACATCAGGTGAGGTTATAGATTTCTGACTAACCGCTTGATCTAGTTAAGTTGTACTCAGTTGCGTTAACTATGGTGGCTAGACAAAGGGTTCTAGCAGAACCGCTGGTTATTGTCTCAACTTTAATTAAGTTGTACGTAGTTATATTAACTATCGGGGGCTAGACAAAGGGTTCGCTGATTATTGTTTTGAGCATTAATTAAGTTGTACATGGGTAACTGTAGGGTGCTAAACAGAACTACTATTTAAAGAATGGTAAGCATGGGCGACCCATTAAATAGTATTAGTCATAAACCTCTGGCTAAGGATCAGACTGGCGAGTTTGTGATCGTGAGGCCCACGCATAGCGGCCGCCGTGAGGCATCCTAAGCGACATAGATTCCTAATGAACGAGTAAATATAAAGTAAAGAGTTAACTAGAATAACCAAATGTCACAATAATAGCAATAATTAAAGACAGACAAACAACCAATTTGCCTTTCAACTTAAATTCGAGGTCATACTAAAATAGAGTCAGATTTGAGTTAAACCTAAATTGAATAACTTTGCGCACTGAAAAGACCGAACACGCAAGAAACCTTCATCCACCACTGGATACCTTCCTTGGGCCAAGTGCGTGGACCTTACAATACGCATTGACCATTGTCAGAATGCGTGCCCCATTTGACTGTTTGCAGTCAAATAAGTCTGTTTGCATATCTGGTGTATATGTCTTTTCATATGTGGACACCAACGCGTTACCCATGTCTTAAAGGGACAGTTCACCCAAAAAGGAAAATTCTGTCATCATTTACTCATCCTCATGACATTCCAAACCTGTATGACTTTCAACCTTCTGTGGAACACAAAAGAAGACTTTTTGAGGAATGTTTGTAAACAAACCGTTTCAGGTCCCCTTTGACGTCCATAGTATTTTTTGTCCATATTATGGAAGTCAGTGAGACCCAATATCATGGGTTGTGAAAATGATGACAGAATTTTCAATTTGGGTGGACTGTCCCTTGAATATCTTATTTATGCATCATATTTTTTGGTAATAGAACTACTAAATTATATTACTTCGTAGTTTATTTACAAATTCAAATAGATATTATTACTCAACTGCATGTTGCTGCAAAACTTTTATGACTTTCTTTTGTCTGTAGTTCACAGTACAGTTTTTGCAAGCTGCTTTTTCTCCATGCTTTAAAGGCATACTAATGTGATATCAATTTACATTAATAATAATCTCAATTTACATAAATTTACAACTTTTCATTGCATGCACTTCTCAAAGTTGTTTAGTCAATTTCTTGAGCCTTCATTAAATTTATAAAATGTATATGTAATAAAAAAGGTTGTGCAGTCATACAAAAATCTGCAATACACTCTGTTCTAAACAAAAGTTAATTCATGGTAATTTTCCATTTTATTTTAGTGAGGTTAGTGGCCAAAAATGGTCAAACTGATTTTATTTGAATTTTTGGTATTTAATGGCTGCAAAGTTCATGTATTCATTGATATTATTTAAATGCAATTGCATTTCTCACAGCTGTCTAGTGTTTAGTTTGATGAGACTTTGTTAAATGTATAAAATGTATATATTATAAAAAAAACATATATGTAGCTTATAAAAATGTTATACAGTTTGAAACTTTTCCAATACTCTGTGTAACTAAAACTAAAATTAATCCATGATCATTAACAGTTTTATTTTAGAGAGTTTAGTGGCCAGTGGTTGTCAAACTGCAAAAAGCACAATAAAAATACAACATAAATAGCAATAATTGTCAAAATTGTATTAGAAGATAAAATGAAACTTTATTTGCAGTTTGTTCTTTGCATAAACGTACAATTCAGAACTTCAAATTTTATTTTCTCTCTTTACTTGTAGTTTTTCAGTATTTCGTTTTTATTTTAGTTTTAGTATTTATTGCTGCAAAGTTGATGTGCTTGCTGATATTATTTAAATATTTTTAACAGCATTGCATTTCTTATAGCTGCCTAGTAACATTTTCAATTTAACAAGCCTTCATGAAATCTATTAAATGTTATAAAAGCCTATATATAGATTTTATAGGTCATAGGTTTTAGGTGGTCAAAAAACACCATTAAACTCAATAAAACCCCATAAAAGTTGGGGTCAAAAATATGACTGTGAAATTTGAATATGCAGAAATGTACTGTACACTGAATGGAGTCTACAGCAGGGTTGCCAGATTTTCACAACAAAACATGCCCAGTTGCTTCTCAAAACTAGCCCAATCGCATTTCGAGGGGGTCTCCCATTAAAAATCTCATTCCAGTGGGTAAAATACACATTATTGGGGTCACTTCAATCCGCGGACATGAAAAACAACCC